TTTTTTTATTTACCAATCGTTCGCCCAGGATAGGTGAAAATTATTAGATTCCCTTCTGACTCAGATTCTATTCGATCTCCTCCGTCATCATTACGTGACACTCTCTGATGCTTGGTGTAAACATGTGGTTCGATGCTTGGTGTAAACATGTGGTTCAAAGTAGTGTGAACAGAAGGTCGAAGCTTCTTGCACCAAATATGCATTGCAAATTGATCCCTCAACCTTTGCCTTATTGCGCAAATTCTTTTTAATTTTTTGCAGGTGTCTATAATTGTACAAAGACACTATGTAAATATGAGTTGAAATAACATTGTAATGATTAGAATGGGATGTTAGTGATTCACCTCTCAAATGGATACATCCATCTATAATGTACCGATCCTGCTATATGACATTCATAGGGCAAATGAAGATGCTCCATAGAATCAAAGAAACTGGGTGGAAAAATTTGATCCAATTTGCATATGACTACTGGGATTTCTCGCTCTAATTGGTCCATATAATCGCATCGAATAACAATCATCATTAATTCCTTAAAAATGAGACTCAATTCTGTCATTAATTCCCAAATTTTCCCCGGCAACAATTCTCGGAATGCCACAAGAATCAATCTTTGGCAACAATTCTCGGAATGCCACAAGAATCAATCTTTACATGAAAATACGACAGTCACGGCTTTTTATGCCAAACAATCTGTATTTCCTCATGTCGACACATCTACCCATATTTGAATAGTATCCATCTGGAAACCTCAATGATCGGACTCATTCGCATAATACTTGCCTTTGGGGTTTATCTAAAGAATAACATGTCTTTGTAAACTTTCCAGTAACTACAGATTGCTCGAGTTCTGGTCGACGATAAATTTCCTTCATGTCTGCTCTAGCTTTTGCATTATCCTTGGATTTTCCCTCAATGTTCATGACAGTGTTGAACAGATTTTCAAACACATTTTTTGCTATATGCATCACATCAAGGTTATGACGGATAAGAAGTGAACTCCAGTATGGCAAATCCTAGAAGATGCTTCGCTCTTTCCATCCGCTATTCCAGCCAATTCTACCATTTACCTTTTCTGCACTTAACTTTGTAACTTTCATAAGCCCTAGATCTTCAATTTCTTGTAATATTTTAGCTCCAGACTTCACATGTGGAGGGGGATCAGCGATAATTGTGTTCTTTCTAACGCATTGTTGATTTCGCTTCCAAGGGTGAGATTCTAGTAAGAATTTACGATGATAATCAAACCAACATTGTTTACCTCCATTTTTTAGTATAAATTCATTAGTGTTTTCCATGCAATTAGGACAAGGCAATTCGCCTGCCTTACTCCACTCAGATAACATTCTAAATTCTAGAAAATCACTAATGGTCCAAAGTAAAGCAGCTCGCATTATGAAATTCTGATTGGCCAAAATATCAAACGTTTCAACCCCATACTCCCATACTCCCATAAAATAATTTAGTTCGGCAATCAATCAAAGGTTGCAGAAACACATCAATTTTGTATTTCAGATTATTAGGGCTAGGTACAATAACACACAAAAATATGTATTCATCTTTCATACACATTGAAGGTGGTAGATTATATGCTGTGACAATGACAGGTCATGATAAATATTGTTGTCCTGATTGGCCAAATGGCTGAAACCCAACAGTACAAAGCTCCAATCTCACATTTCTCAGCTTAGCAGCAAACACAAGATGATTGTTATCAAAGTGTTTCCAGGCTTCAGAGTCTGATAGATGAGTTATTATACCATCCTCATATTCATGCAAAGCATGCCATCTCATCCATCTCCATGTGTTTACTGTCGCCTTAGATTGCATATAACCTTTGAAGGCTAACCTTTGAAGGCGAGGAACAAGAGGAAAATAATACATCTTCTTGAAAGCCTTCTCTCTTTGTACTCTACTAGTCCCTTGACCCCGCCGTTGATATCTAGGAAGATTACAAAACTTGCATTCTCTTAATTCAGAGTCAACACCCCAGTATATCATACAATTATTTCGGCAACAATCAATCTTTTTCATGGGTAGTCCTAATCCCCGAACTACTTTTTTTGTCTGGTAAAAATTATCCACCATCGAATAGCCTTCAAGCAACATTTCTTTTGATAACTGCACAAAATCATCATAACACCTTTCTGAAAAATGGTGCTCTACTTTCATGTGCAATAATTGTGCCACTAAAAATAGAACTAAATGATTCTTGCATCCAGGCCCCACATTGCACTATTTTAGCTGCATTTAGCAATGTTAAATAATTGTTGGTGCCTGCAGTAGTTTTTGGCGATTCCTCCATATTGGTCCCAATGGAATCTGGCTCTACCTACATCAACAATTAATCATATTGAACTTAAAAAAGCTTGACTTCTGAACTTACAGAAATAGAGTGGCCTACCAATGAAAACTCGAGGTTCACCATGATGTACCATTTGTAATATTTCCACGAGACGCCATTGTTGCATAAATGAAGTTTAATGGTATCAAATATCTAAAGAAGCTCTATTTCTCGTTCATGAATCCCAACATCAGTATATATAGTCACCTCATCATCAAATAGAGTGGCCTGACCCACTGAAAACTCGAGGTTCACCATGATGTATCCATTTGTAATAATTTTCCACGAACCCATTTTTGCATAAATGAAGTTTAATGGTATCAATATCTAAGAAGGCTCTATTTTCTCGTTCATAATCCCAACATCAGTATAATAGTCACCTCATCATCATCTTGCCCCTGGATTCAGGCTCAGAATTACTCACTCCTGCGATATTATCCACAACTTGACTATGTTGTGTTTGTGGCATCTCAAATGGTAAAGAAACTTGCCTATCCACTAAACGCATCTCAATAAACTGACTATTCTTAAATAACTCAAACATTAAACAAACATCTTTATCACTTTCTATTTGAATGTTATCTCCATAAATAATTTCCACTGAACCTGCCGTTAGACGATGCGCTTTGCACACATTCGCCATCAACATAATGAAAGAAATCTTATCAGGGTCTACATCATACAAATAACGAGTTTCCCCTCCATACTCAACTTCTAATTTGTGATATATCATTTCAGCCATTTTCACGTTAAAACCTGTTTTTTGATGTGAAAACCACAGTTGGAGACTAGAGTTATTAAAACCAATAATTCACAATCAAAATCCTAACCTATGCCAATATATATGTTTCTAGTGCAAAACGACTTAAGAGCATAGATATTTACAACAAAAATGCACTTTAAAACCCCCTGTTTTTTCAAGTGAAAACCATAGTTGGAGACCAAAGTTATTAAAACTAATAATTCACAATCAAAACCCTAACCTATGCTAATATATATGTTTCTACTGCACCGATTCAAAGGCATAGATATTTACAACATAATCAATGACTAATATTGATAAAAATGCATAATTTTTTCAAAACTTCATATGGTTTTTAGAACAGAATCGCTAACTTACCTTGTAATGAAGGGTGATTCTTCGTTCCACTACTCGCCTCTTTCCTTACAGTTGCTGAATGATGAAACTTACTTCATTTTTTTTTTTTTGGGTAGAAATCGATCTACAGCTTCCATGGAATGAGAAAGAATATGGCGTGCTAAGGAAGTTGTTAGTTCTCGACAAACAGTTGACTCCTCATTTTCCCTCCACTTCAATCCATTAAGTAACATAGGGTATAATTGTCTTTTCCTATGTAAAAGTCAGGTTATTTTCATTTGTTCACAAATTTTAACGGCACATTGGGGGAAAAATGGATGGAAAGACTTCATAGTTTAACGGAACCAAACCATCAGGGACTCTGAATTAATATTGAAAAAATGCGAGGACACTTAGATAGTTTGGTCAAACTTCAGGGACCAATTAATTATTTTCCCTTTCTTTTATTATGAGCCCGAATTATGATGGGAGTAGCAGTAGGGTAGGTCTGGAGCCCATTATTATGTTCTCCATTAGAGTGGTAGATTCAAGTGTAAGTTAGGCATTGAGGCGGTGATTATTATCATAATCTCTATTTGTGCGTGTAATATAGATAATAATGATTAACCAAGTTTAATCATTCAACTCTAGCTTTTGATTTACCTTTTTTACCATCCAAGAATTTACCGCTGAGTAATAAAAGTAAAACGCAGAGTCAGGAGGAAGGAAATATAATAACATGACCAAAAAAAAATTAAAAAGAAAAAAGAGAAAGAGAAAAAAGAGGGAAGACAGCTAAGCAAGAATGGAATGCGAGGAAGAAGGAGTAACCTTATTTAAGGTAGAGCAAGAGATTAAGAGAGATATCTCTGTCTCATTGCTTCTTCATATCCTTTTTCCTTTTCCTTTTCTTCACTCCCCTCTCATTCTTTCTGCTCGAGAGGGGTTTATATATGTACTATATATATATGTATATTTTTTTTCTTGAATAACATACAGTGTAGATTTTTTTTTTTTGTTTGAATTTCTGAAGATAGAGAAAATTAAGTGCAGAGAAAGGTACAGTATGACATTACTGTTATCTATATGTTATTGTTCGGTTGCTGTTCTGCTGTGTTTATTCTTGTGGTACCTTCTACTTTCGCTCTATCTCTGACAGATCTGTCCTTTGATGGTTATCTGTTAACATCATTGTTACTGCATCAATCTATAGCTTTCCTTCTTTTCTTCTTTCACTTTGCAGATCTGGGCTTTTTGCTGGTGACCCATTTGTTTTTTTTTTTCCTTCTTTTAATTCGTTATTTTTTACACTAATGTTAAGTTATTAGCTCAATTTTGGAAATTCCAAATGGGTGTTTGATACAAATCCATTTTTATAATATGTCCAGCACACTTCTTGTACACACTAATGTTTTTAAATTGCAAACCTTTGTTTTCCTGTCATGCACTTTCAGCTTCGTCTTCTGTTTATGTCTCTTATATTTTCTTTTTTTGGTAAATTTTGGAGGATGAAATTAATCGTATGTGTTTTGCTTTTTTTCTTGAATTGCGATAATGATTTTGTTTTGTCCTGTTCTATGTTTGTTGATGATGATGTGCGAGAACTGAAGAAAAGAGCTAATCATGGAACCTTTTTTCTTGGGTTTCAAGGAAATTATTAAAATTCCATAGATTTATTGTTTTCCCTCTTTTGCCTTTATGAATTCGGTGGTATAATGAGATAGAAAGAGAAATAGGACGACTGGGTTTTGATGGAGTTGGGTCCCATAAAAGATGTATAATGGAAAGTGAAACTATATGTCGGTAGTTGCTATTAGATCTTGTAGTCTACTTCTGTTTTTCTTTTCAACAATGTCGTTTCAATGGTCCAACTAATTTGTTTGACCATTGCCTCTCTATCAATCACTTTGTTTTCTTTACTTCCTGATGCTCTGATTTTCTCGGTTGATTATTTAGCCATCCATTAGAATTGGCCGAAGCATTTTGTCATTGTAAGCTGGATCTCTCCTAGAAATTTGGGGGTTTTGTCATTGATATCCTTGCTGTCCTTTTCCCATTTCAGTACTTTACTATTTCCCCCAATTACTGCAAACTTTTGGGCTTTTCTTTGTTTTTCTGGATCTATTAGATTTTGGGAAAATGCCATGTTGGATTGAGTTCGTCTATGTTGTATGATATAGAGATGGAAGCTTTTAGAGTTTTGAATTTTGTTTGGTTTTCAATTTTTGGTATGATTGATGCTGATATGAAAAAGTTTAATAGTGTAAATGATAGATTGTGCTAAAGTCTCGACTTATAACTTAACTTGCTTTGGCAGATAATAATTGTTGTAGATCATGAAGCATAAAGATGGAAAACCGGTTTCTCCAAATGATAAAAGGTCCCGGGTCGTTTCCATGTCAATATTGTTTGTTGTACTATGTGGGTTTTCCTTCTACCTCGGTGGAATTTTTTGTTCTGAGAAAAATTTGATTGAGACTAAGGATATTACTAAGCCAGTCTCGTCCCCCAAGGAACCGGCAGTCGCTCCTCTCCAAATTAAATCAGCTGTCTTTCCTGAATGCAGTAGTGACTATCAAGATTACACTCCATGCACAGATCCAAGGGTATTACTTAATTTTTGTTTAGTTTTGATTAAATGGTGTTATACAGGTTTTCTAGGATCTGTAGAGTAGGAATTGCAGTGTTGATAATTTGTGTCATTGTGCAGAGGTGGAAGAAGTATGGATATCAGCGGCTTACTTTAATGGAACGTCACTGTCCTCCTCCGTTTGAAAGGAAGGTATGCTTAGTACCACCACCAGATGGGTATAAGCCACCAATCAGATGGCCAAAGAGCAGGGACGAATGTTGGTACAGGTAGATCCTTTTTATTTTTTATATTTGTTTGTGTTTGTTGAAGGGCTTTAACTTTAGTTGTTATGCTTGAATTTCTGCTTTAGCAAATTTTTCTTACTTTGCCTGCGGATCTTGTCTCAGAAATGTACCATATGATTGGATTAATAAGCAGAAATCTAATCAGAACTGGCTGAGGAAAGAGGGGGAGAAATTCCTCTTTCCTGGTGGAGGAACTATGTTTCCTAGAGGAGTGGGTGCCTATGTTGATCTGATGGAAGATCTGATTCCAGAAATGAAAGATGGAACTGTTCGCACTGCTATTGATACTGGATGTGGGGTGAGTTTCATTCTCACTTTTTACCCATGGTATCTGGAATTGATTATATTGGAATTGCCAGCCTTGTTCTGTTGGAATTCATATTGCATCAAGTATTTAGTGCCCCTTATTTTTATCAGAATCTCTGTCACTTAATCTATCTGATTGTGTTTGTATCTAGGTTGCAAGTTGGGGTGGCGATCTATTGGATAGAGGGATTCTAACACTTTCTCTTGCACCAAGAGACAATCATGAAGCTCAAGTCCAGTTTGCATTGGAACGTGGAATTCCTGCGATCCTAGGCATCATTTCCACTCAACGCCTACCTTTCCCCTCTGGCTCTTTTGATATGGCTCATTGCTCAAGATGCCTCATCCCATGGACTGAATATGGTAATTGATTATTACTGACTTAGGTCAACATTTTACTACAACAGGATTATTGCAATATTCATGACCATGGATATAAAAGGATAATGCAATTAGACAGTCAGGCTTTATCAACGATTAAATTTTTGTGATTCTTATTCCATTTTTAGATTGGGGAGTTATAGATATGTTCTAGGTTTTTGAAGTTTCCCTAATTGATAGCTGAATTTCTTTAATACAAGTCCTTCATTCCAAGGAATCAGGAAATGCTTTGAAATTTGAACCAATACCACCAGCTTAGTTGCTGATGCTTCCTATCATAATTTCCTATCAGATGAGGTTTATTTTTCTCACCTTCCGTTAGATACTATTGCTACATGTTGTATTATAACATCATAAATTGATTGAATTTCCTTAACTGTGTTCTTCCCATCTTTTGCCTTTCCCATTCCCCTGTAGCTCACTTTTTTGTCTTTTTCGATTTAACATCGAATTAGTGATAGGTGTCCAAATTCAGTTTCTGGCTTAAAATGATGGGAATTTTCTTTTTCAGGTGGCATTTATCTCCTAGAAATTCATCGTATACTCCGTCCTGGTGGCTTCTGGGTCCTGTCTGGTCCTCCAGTCAACTATGAAAATCGTTGGCGAGGGTGGAACACTACAGTAGAAGAGCAGAAATCAGACTATGAAAAGTTGCAGGAACTTCTAACTTCAATGTGCTTTAAATTGTACAACAAGAAGGATGACATTGCTGTGTGGCAGAAAGCTTCAGATAATAGTTGCTACAGCAAACTTGCTGCACCTGATGCCTACCCACCAAAATGTGATGACAGCCTTGAACCAGATTCTGCATGGTACACTCCACTTCGTTCTTGTGTTCTTGTTCCCAGCCAAAAACTTAAGAATTCAGCCCTGGAATCCATCCCAAAGTGGCCGCAGCGGTTGCATGCTGCTCCTGAACGTATTTCAGAGGCTCCTGGTGGGAGTGCTAGTGCTTTCAAACACGATGACAGCAAATGGAAGGTTCGAGCAAAGCACTACAAAAAGTTGCTTCCAGCACTTGGGACTGATAAGATAAGAAATGTGATGGACATGAATACTCTATATGGAGGTTTTGCTGCAGCTGTGGTTGATGATCCCTCGTGGGTCATGAATGTGGTGTCTTCGTATGCTCTGAATACGCTTCCTGTTATCTACGACCGAGGCCTTATCGGAACCTACCATGATTGGTAATCTTAAATCTGCTTTTTGTAATGTCTATTTCTGTGTGATTAACATGGCTGTCATGAACTCTACATGTTTCATATCATTTGGTACCTAGCTGAGTGGTGGTGTTTGATTTGTTTCTATGCTCTTTGATAGGTGTGAAGCTTTCTCAACATACCCTCGAACATATGATCTCCTTCACCTTGATGGCCTTTTTACTGCTGAGAGCCACCGGTAAGAAATAGTTCTTAGTTTTGATACGTTGTTCCGTGAAATTGCTCAGGTGTGTGCACTTGTCTGTGTGTGTGAGTCTAATTGGTAAATTTACTTGGTATTCTCTTTATAAATGTCGTTTGGTATTAGGCCTAAGGGTTGATCTCTTAAGTTATGGTAACTTATTTCGGATTTCGGGTTTGATGCGGACCCTCATGTAACTTATTTTGGATTTCGGGTTTGATACGGACCCTCATGTGATAAAGTGGTCTGAAATGCATGATGGAAGGTGTCACCTTTCCTTCTGCTTATGAAATTTAAAGACACTGATAAAGTCAGTTATCTACCTTTTATATTCAACCATGGCCAGAGAAAAATAACTCAGAATGTTAACAGACCTTATAAATATGCATGTCAGGATTGACGTAATTTGGGTCAGATTTTTTATTTAACTGGATCTAAGCCGATCTGCCGCATGATTCAATAGCTTGGGCCTAACATATTGCCCGAGCCTGGCCCAGTTAGAGAAAATATGTACTTTGACCTTGAAGTTGAGTCTAAGCTCTTTGTGGTGACGAATGTTTGTCAACTTGTTTAGGTCTAAACGTTTATGCACTCCAATGATTGGCCAGTTTTTTGCTATTTTCATTCTTAAGTAAGCTGCAAGTACATTTTTTTTTTTTTGACTAAGTTTATGAAATACTCATTAATCAAGCATTTTTATTTTCCACATCATATCCAGTTTCTTTTTCTAAGAAAACAATGCTATTGTCATTCTTTTTTCTAAATGATATGTAGATATAACAGCTTTTAATTTCTTTCTGATGTACCAAAAATAAATCTTTGGTGTCTTGATAAAAATTAAAACTAGGATACCTTAATTTTTATCCTCTTTTGCTATATGCTACATCCAGTATCGGTCAGTATGCTGTTGTTTAATCTTGAATTTATTTAAATAATCTGAAATTTGTGTGATTTGCTAAAAAATGCTGGTGTAACTGTTAGTTTTCTTCCACCAATGGGAAGTATGTGAATTGCATTTATGTTGTTCTAACAATTTTTGGTACTTGTGCAGATGTGACATGAAGTATGTGCTCTTGGAGATGGATCGAATCCTCCGCCCCAGTGGTTATGCACTAATACGGGAATCCAGTTATTTTGTGGATGCTATTGCTACGATTGCCAAGGGAATTAGGTGGGGCTGCCACAAAGAAGAAACTGAATACAATCTTGAGAAGGAAAAGATATTGGTTTGCCAGAAAAAAATCTGGTACTCCTCTAATAAGAGTTCAAGATGATAGAAATAGAAAATCCCATACTTGATGATAATCTCCTGAATGGCTGTGTAATTGCTATCTGGGATAGCCGCCAGACATTAGTAAGTAAAGTTCAATACATTGTGGAGAAATTAATCCATCCACAAGGAGCCAAGAGCCAAGATCTTCAGATTCAAATTGTCAATGAGAAATAGCTACACAATGACCTAGTTTTATTAATTTATACTGCCCTGGTAAGGCAATCCATATATTCTTGGCATTTTTTTTTCTTTATTGGGTTCTTTTGTTTTGGATTTTGATTATTTTATATGTTAGAAACTGAATATTGTAAGTGCATGTAACAATTTGAGGATGCAAGAAACCTCACCATCACACATTGTGATGTCTATATGTAATGAAAATTATGAAATTGTTGTAGGCTATTCTGCTTAAAACTTCACTGATACTTGCCTAAAGCAAATACAAACTGTATAATGCATTCATTACAAAAATTATTGAACTTTTGATATAATATTTTCAGAATAAATTTATACTCCTTCCATTCTATTTACATAAAGAAAACTACTTCTGTATTCGAATTAAGGAGGTAGTTAAACTGAAATTTATTCCCTTTTTCTTTTCTATTGTACACCTAAAACACTTTTGACTCTTCCCCAATATTGAATACAAGACAATTAATGGATGAGCTCTTCCCCATTTGCAATACAAGACAATTAATGCATGAGCAGAAAATGAGATGAGTTAATTAGATGTTCGTGGATAGATTACATTCCATCCATCTCATTTTATTTATATGACAAAACAAGTATATTAAGAAATTTACATAGTTTCATAAAAAAGCAAATTAAAAAATCGGTCAGCAATAATCATATCGCCCCTCTTTACACTTAACTAATTAACACATTAGCAAAAGTAAAAAATAATTGTTTAATTTTTACATTTAATTCATTAAGATATTAATAAAAGTCATTCATTTAATGGACAATAATAAAAATTATTATGGAAAAAATAATTATTCAAAAAAATGGAACGGAGGCATTATATTTTATAGCCACAAAAAAATTCAAAATAATTGGGGATTTCAATTTTCTTATTCTCTATTTTTCATTTTATGTGCGCAAAATACAACAATTTAGGGCCAAAATTTTCGAAACAAGAAAGTATCCCTCAACTTCTTAAAACTGATCTCATATATATATGGAATAGGTTACAACTCCATACTAATCATCCACATCCACAGATACAATGAATCTCCTTTTGCCATTTGATCTTAACACAGTCGGTGATAACTAGTCCTTAGACCTCTTTGCCCTAATGTTTTCATTAATTGATGTTTGTTATGAAATACTTTGTTTGAATAAAAGAAAAACAAACGGGTGCAAAAAGTAAAGACTAAGCATTGTCTTTTGGAGGGAAAGCTTTGTTTGGCCACTGTTTTACAAAGTTGTGCTACTCAGTTTTTTCATTTCAACCACCGTTAGGTTACAAGAACATATTTAAAATAGCGCAAAAATGTTTAAATATTCTTGCAAACTGTTTACCACTTCATTTAAATATGCTCGAAGTGAAAATTTTGTGGTCTTTCTCAATAAAAACTGTATTTGTATTAGAGCTAATAGCACTTATATCTGCTCATTTTTAATTAAATTTGAGATCTAATCAATATACAACATATTCTTGTAACTTTGCTCACATTTAATGCCCATCTAAATGTTTGTTTGGTACTACCTTGATATTCTTCCATTGTTAAAGCTTAACAAAGGACTAGCAGAGGACAACATAGATATTTTGCTTTAGCATGGTTCCCAACGTTATCAAATAAGGCAAAATCCTCTATACAAATAGAACAACCAATTTAAAATTTTTCTTTATATAAATGAAGTGAAGGGAGTATCTAATTCAACAAAAGATTTTTTCTCAAAAGTTAAGAAAAAAAAAAAAATAGTCTTGCTCTATAGTAAGCATAATTAGTTAAATACATTACAGGGATTAAACTGGATTCAATACGTTCGTATTTAATTCGACACTTGAAATGAAAAAACGGTCAAATAAACGTTAAAAAAACATTAACTTTTAAAAAATGGATATGAACTTATACGTGTTTTATATGTTGGCTAATTCAAAATTTTGGCAATTTTTTTGTAGTGTACATCTATTTTTAGAACATCATATCACCAACTCTAAATACAAAGTCTCATAAATCATAATATTATATAAAAAAACAATACAAAATTTCATAACATTACATCACCAACTCCAAATAAAAATTCAAAGTATAAAGATCATAAACTACAAATAAAAGTTCATATTGCAACATAAAAAGCTAAGATAATCATCAACATAAATCAAAAGTTTTCATGAGTCACAACATAAATCAATCATCAGACGGAAGAATCAAAATTTGGGTTGTTATCAAGACCAAAACCTGTATCATCATTATCATCTTCATCATTAGCTATAGTCACATAAATAGAGTTTAAATCAATGAATCCATGACCCAAATCCACACTCATGTTTATTCCTTTCCATTAAGAAGAAGAACTGTAACAGCCCAGCCCATGGTAGATATTGTCCGCTTTGGGTGTCAAACCTGGCCTGAACCCTCACGGTTTTGTTTTTGGGCCAGGGAAAACCTCCAATAAATGATCCATGACGCCAAATCCACACTCATGTTTATTCCTAAGGTTGCCACCCTTTATGTATAGGACTTCCACCTTGTGCGTAGCCGATGTGGGATTCGCCTAAGGTGTTGTGCCCCAAACCTGGGATGTCACAAGAACATTACAACAATGTAATGGACTAGAGAGCATCAAAGATTAAAACTTAAAAAGGGATAAGAAATGGAAACAATGAAAGGAACAAAAATAAAAATGGAAACATAAGTGAATGGCAATGGCATACCTTCGAACGGTGGAGAGGTCGACAACCAATGAATCACAACTGTCCAGCATCGATGTGCGATACAGAGAGCACAGTGATTGGTCGAGCTTTAAAGGTTTAGGCGTTCAATAATGTCGAGTGAGATTTTGGGTAAGAAGAAAGAGAAAGTTAAAGAATAAAGATAAGATTTTATTTTTCTACATGTTTTATATGCATATGTATCATACTTACAATTTAAAATGGTATGGCTCTCGTATAATCGGTTTTAAAATCCACAAGCCTTAAAAAAAAAAAAAAAGGAAAATCCCTTTTTCAAACGAACAATACATGAGCGACCGTTTTATTCGCGTTTTAAACGCGTTTTTGGTAACAATGCTAGCAAGTTAGAAGTTTAGTGATTCTTATTACGAAAATCTTTCTTTCATTGTTATGGTGTCGTGTCTTCCAATGCTAGCTCGTTGGAGACGGATTTAAGGCAACTGTCTCTCTTGAGGAAGAGGAGGGTGGTGGTGTGGTGGTGGAAGAGAGCTCTATTCTGGATGATTCCCACCCAATTAGCCTTTGTTTAGTGGGACGTTTCTTTACTGACAAGATATAAACTTTAATGCTATGAAGCAAAGTATGGCTTCATTTTGGTGTCCAAGAAAGGAATAAGCACCCTTGAAATAGGAAGTAGGTTCTTTTCTTTACCTATTTCAATTGTTACACAAAGTGTGCATTGCCAAAGTCATTGGAATGAGTCCTTTCGACTTTTGACAATCATTTGCTTTAGTTCCACAAATTAGGTATTAATGAACAACCTCAATCTCCCCTTATTTGATACCTTTTTATGTACTCAAGTATACGGTTTTGCAATTGGTCTCATGGTTGAATCTGTGGCTAAAACGATTAAGAACTTTGTTGGCATTTTTGTAGCTGAACCATGAATTTTATTGAGCTTTGCGACAGTCATATGCGCATTAAGGTTTAGTTTTGATAAGTTTTGCGATCTTTTACTTGATTAATCTGGTTCAATTATATAGAGGTTATATGATCTTGAACTTGGAGTTATTTTTTGCCAACAAGAAAACTCTCTTAGGGATCGATAGTTGCATAATGAATCTCCATTGATTCTAGGAAGGGGAAGGGTTGGGTGTTGCTAGTGATGATGGAGTGGTTAAAGCTAATCAAAATTGTCGTTCTAAAATGATTCTTACTAGCGTTAGTAGAGAACATGGAATCAATCTCTTTGCCTACAAACTCGACTCTAGCAATGTGGTTCACTTGCAAAATAAAGAGATTTGAATATCACTAGAGTCATTACACAGTGTTATCATCAGAAGTATGAGACTTATAATGTTTTGATTCCACTTAAGATACATGATTAGATTACTGGCGTGGAAGATAATTTACCAATGGTAGGACTTGGATACTAGGCCTACAAAGCCAATGAGTTGGAATTATCGTGGGTTGGGCAACCCATGTATAGTTTGAGTCCTTCAGGATTTAGTAAAAACTCATTAGCCTATTAGTAAAAACTTACCAACCCATATTTGTTAAGAAACAAAAGTTAATCCTAGTATGGTAGAAGTTGTCAAAAGTCTTCTTGGTTTGAGGTTATTGTTGATAATTGTAGATTGAGTGGTAGTGTTGCACTATATTGGCAGAAATGAAACTCATTTACTTTGTTTCTCACAAACCCATATTGATATCTCTGCTATCCTCCCAGATCATGGTCATTGGAGATTAATTCGATCTTATGAAAGGCCTAAACATCATAGAAGAAGTGAATCTTGGTCTCTTCTTAAGTCATTGAAAAACATATCCGATTTGCCTTGGTTTTGTATTAGAGACTTCAATGACTTATTGTTTACTTCAAAAAAAAAAAAAAAAAAAAAATTGTAATTAGAGATCTTTCAATGACTTATTGTTTACTTCAAAAAAAAAAAAAAAAAAAAAAATAGAGAAGCAAGTCCCACATCCTCAAATGGTTATTGAATGGTATCCAAGAATGATGCGGAGCAACTAAAAAAAAAAAAAAAAAAAAAATAGAGAACAAGTCCCACATCCTCAATGGTTATTGAATGGTATCCAAGAATGATGCGGAGCAACTGGCACTTAAATATATGGAAGACTTGGATCGCTGCAAATCCAATAAGAAGGGGCACGACCGTACCATTTCTAGCACGCCCGTGCCAGCCTCTGGAAGTCCAGGATGCGAGACATGCCTAGGCCTAAGAAGCACAAGCACGCCCGTGTCACAGCCAGCCTGCTCGTGCTAGCCTTTGGAAATCCAAGCACACCCGTGTCACAGCCAGGTTGCCCGTGCTAGCCTCTGGAAGTCCAAGCACGCCCGTGTCATGCCAAGCACGCCCGTGCCGATGAGTCTAGTTACGATTCGAGTGTCGACATGCCCGTGTCATACCAAGCATGCCCGTGCTGCCGACCTTACTAGGGTTTTGTCCAGTTACGACTGTTGTGTTATTTTTAGGGTTTTTATGTGATTAGTCCTAAACCTATAAATAGGTTATTTGTATTATGAGCACGGAGATTATTCCTTGATTATTATTCATATTCAAT